GAACTACCCACAGTGCACTTGGTTTAATGTTTACACCACCCATGTGACCACACGGAGGGAGCTCTGGACTCTGACAGACGTCCGTGCTGATGAGGAGTCTGTGTTCTTTCACTTTTAGCTCGGGAACCTGAAGTCACGAACGGTTTCTGGTCTGCACACGTCTCACTTGGTTTGGATTGAACCTGCGTCACCGAGTCCGTCTCTGGTTGCTTTGAGTCTTTGTGCTGTTTAACTGCCGCCCTGTGACTCAGTAATTATCGGCTTATGAGGAGGAATCACTTGAACTGCGGTTGAATGAAAGAGTGATTCTGTTGCTGTGCAGACTTGCGTCAGCGTGCGCAGGGAGACGTCCTTGGCCCAGCGCTGCTTGTGCAACGCCGTTTCTTAACACGTCTGAATGTTCTCCCACTAACCCACCGCACTGCATCCTGGGGATTTGTCTTATCCCGATCATGCAGGAACGGCGTGCCGCCATCTGCGGCCGCGTTTTGTTTTCAGTCTGAAGCAGCTTTCCTGCCGCTGCTCTGGTTGTTGGTACGTGCCCGTGTGTTGCTCTGGAAACAGCGTGCTGCGGCTTGAGAGAGCGAGGAAGAGGCAGCGGCGGCGGCGGCCCGGGTTTGTTATTATTTTGGGTGCAGCGCGGTGACATCATCCCGCCCCGAGGCTCTGGTGTGGAAGAGTACAGGGTTGCACAGAGCTGAAGAGAAGGAATGAAGCAACAAGGGCGAGCTTCAGCTGCCAGATGGCCGAGTGTCGACCCGCTCCGCTTTCTCTTCCTACACTCACGGCGTCCCAACATGGCTGCAGGACGCTCCCAAGGGCCACGAGCATGGAGGAGAAAGCAGCGAGTGTTGCAGTAATAGTAAAGATAAACACTTTCTGCTGTCAGCGCAGAAGGGCGTCTCTGAAAACCAGAGGTTTATTGTGAAAAAGTCCGTCTGGAGTCGAGCTGCTTTGTGTCCTGATGTAACACAGATAGACATGAAACGACAAAACTGTGATGTTTGCAGCAACAGAACAAATATTTAAGAATTATTATAGCTTTATTTCAGTCACAAAGTGCTTCTCCGTCAGCGTAAAACATAAACTAGTACAGATAAAATAAGAATCACACGGGTTTACAACAATCAATATATAAAAAACACAAGTCAACATGCAAATAAAGCAAAAATAAATAAACAGTGAAAACTTTTATTTTGTAAAAATGCAGCAGATAATGTGAAGAATAAAATATTAAAAACAGAAACCAGCATGAATAAATATTGAATGTCTGATAGAGAACCGGTTCTGTGGCTTGTTGTCTGTTGGGCGTTAATGCATGAGGGTCACATGTGTTGTGTGGTACACGCTGTTCCCGGGCGGCGTGACGGAGAGTCATGGGAGCTGTGTTTATACCGTACACAGAGATCCAGCCTGAACACGGGCGGAACGCTGCGGTCCCCGGGAGTCATGTGTTTGCGCTGATGCTTCAGACGGCGTGTGGCTTTATTCCTTAACGTCACTCATGTTTGAAGCAGGAATAATAACGATGGTCTGTGTTTGGAAACCTCCGACTAAAATTACATCCAACCTTCAACCGCTATGCAGAGTCAGAGGTCGCACGCCTCTGGAGCAGCTAGGAGTTGGGTGTCTTGGTCAGGGACACGTTGGCGGATGTGTTGCAGTGGGGGGAAAAAACGTTCAGTCTTTCAAACTGCATCCTGATGAGAATGAAAAGAGAATAATTCAAATAAATCACAGTTTCAGTGAGTAAAGCGTATTCAGTTTCAGTTAAAGTTTCAGCTGCCGCACCACCAGACCGCTGAGCAGCTTTTTCCACCAAGCTATCAGACTCTTAAACTCCAGTGATGATAGTTTATTTCTGTTCACCATTTTATAATTGATTCTGTATTAATGTATGTTGTCTGCTATGTAGCAGAAGGGAATTCCAAAACACAATTTCACCCTACAACTCCTTAAATTGTGACAAAAACCTTCTACCTAATTTACCCCCAAAACTACTGAGCGAGCTAATCTCAATCTGCCAGATTTGTTTCATTTGAGCCCCCAAATTCTGCTTTTATGTGCAGTTTGGAGGATGTATGAAACCTCTATACAATATAAATGTTTAAAACAGACACGCATCGTTATATTGTCCACAATTTAATCGTTGGTTCATTTTACAGAAACGATGAGCACCACAGTCAAATTCATTCAGATTTACCAGCATGGTAAAAGAATTAAAGGCCCGTCCCAAATATAGGCCGGGGGTTCAGGATTTAAGCAAATAAAAGCCCGGGCTGTTGGTTGAAGTTTAATTTACATGGAGTTTATGTTCTACTGCATAAAAGTAGTTAAAAGGACAATGTTATTTAAGATTAGATGTAAAAACAGACATTTCCTCTACACAAAGTCTGTTTGTCTAATAATTCTTCTTCTTGTGAAACACTAGACAGTTTTTTCCTTTCAGGCGCCCCATAAAATGGTTTAAATGAAGCAGTTTGAGACATGAAATCACTTTTAATCACCATCTCACACAGACATCGCTAATTATAAGGAACGAAAGAGTTTTTTTTTTTACTTTGACAGGAATGAAATATTCACGGGGAACTGTGAATCAGTGTTCTGAAGATGTGTTTCGCTTTGTGCGAGCTTGAGATGAGCTGTGTGACGTCACGCTGGGAAAATGCACACATCCAGCATAACAAGCGAGAGAAAACTCATCAGACTAAAAGTGCTGTGCTGGACGAGGAGGGCAATAAAATAGTAAATAGAGAAACAGCACTTTAGGTAATGGACTCTGGAGGAGAGGAGAGTGTCTGCAGGCCAGTTTGACTGAGTATTGTTGTTTTGGTGTCACAGAAACATCTGTGTGTCGGCTCTAAATATACCGGCGCTCCCTCCGGCCTCCTGCCGCACAGCTGAGGAACCCCTCCTCCATTTCCTCTATTTCTGGCTGCTGCTGATCTGTTTTGTGTCGCCGTGAGAACGAAACTTTAAATGATGTTTTCACCGGAGACGTTCGGCAGCGTGTCGGATTTCAACACGTTTAGACCCGACACACTTAATGTAAATAAATAAAGG